AATGCCATGGACAGAGGCAGGGTACTAGCATGTCAGGGCTGCTCAGTGCCACAAAGCAGTGGGACAGACAGCTGCAGTTGGACACATGTCTTGGTGCGGGGGTGGGAGGGAAGCTGCTGCTGGGAGGGAGCAAGTGGGAGGTAGGCAGGGGCTATGGGTCAAGAGTGAAAGGCAGTGGCAGGGCTAGGGGTGGGCTGTGGTTTGGGAGTGAGGGGCACCAGCATATCAAGACTGCTCAGTATCACAAAGCAGCAGTGGGGAGAGCTGCAGCTGGACTGGCACCTTGGTGAGTGAAGGGGGCAGGTGGAGCCCTGGTTTTCCATGATAAAAAAAAAATCAAATGCCAAAATTTATAGGTATTCAGAATTTATTTTATTATAATGATTGAGGCACTGGTAGACTTCCAAATTATTTTAAAATTGTAAATATATCAATAAAACATTGTGAGCAGCTGATAACTATAGATATAGTGGTATTTCAGTTTAATTGCAGAAACCCCTGATTTTAATTTTTTTTTAATCAGATAGCTTTGGATTTGTTTTATCAGAGAATTTTGGGCTTTTTAACTGACAAAACCAGGATCACTGGTTATAATTAAGAACCAAATCCTGAAGTCTGTTACTCAGTTTTCCTCATCTTACACAGGCAAAAGTATTCCTGAAATCCGTGTTTTTTTGCCACAGTAAGGACTCTAGGATGTATCCTTGGCTACTGCTACCTGATTTATCACAATGGAAAACATGAATGTATATGATTGTAAAACTATTTGTTCTCTTATTCTAACCTATTCCTCACTAGTCCTTTTGTGCAAACAAGTTTTGGAGGAAAGGAGCAATCACTTTTTTGGTACATCCATATGTCAAAAAGCATCCTTCTGCAAATGTCAGCGCACACACACAGTTTGCTCATACGTTCACTATTTTCACAGCATTTTCAGTTCTTTTAAATAATGAAAACTACACTAACTGCCTTTTCCTTATTTGTCTATTATTTCAGAAAACAAAAATTTAGATTTAATTCAATGGCTATGTTTTAGAAATATAATAGCATATAATATTGTACCATTGAAATATAGCTGCATTCCTGTCAATGTTGTATTCTCCACTAATGCACTGCATTCCATTGTATGAATATAATCTATTCTGTTGTAAAATTAATGGCTTACTTTCTTCTTTCTTTTTGGTTATAAAACTAATGTCTTACTTTCTTCTGCTGGCAAGTGTTTCTTCACTGTCTTTTGAGAACACCTTCAGCCCTTGATTATCTTTGTTCTGATCAAGAGAACAACTTGGGGACTGTGTAGGCTCTCTCGCAGGATGGCCACATACTTTGGTTACCTGCAAAAACAAAAGCCATAAGGAATATGTTAAAACTAGGAATAGGTCAGCATCCTTCCCTTTAGTTTAAGTCGGATTTTACTAACAGTGAAGATGAGGTATATCGCCCATTTTAAAAAGGTCAGCACTGGTTCCATTAGATATGTGGCCAGTCAAAACTAGTAACCATACTGAGCATAGTTTTAGTTGCTGACACTATAAAAATGGAAGAAACAATGGAGTATCCTTTGTTGAATTGAAAGGACATTCACGGAGTGTTCTTGAAAGAGCAGAACTTGCCCCTTTGGAGTTAGTAGCTGCAGTTTTCTAGGCAGATCATCAGCCCATGGCTCTTCATTGTAATACGGATCATTATAACAACTAAGGAAACCTGATGTTGGGCATATTTCTATTTTTCTGTAATCTACCCTAAATAACATTTACAATGTACATCAAGGTTTGTGCTTCCTTTCCAGTTTAATGTGGTAAGTTCAATGCAGTTACCCATAGTAGTGGTGTCCTCTACTATGAAACTATAGAATATATTAACAGCTCAGTGATTGAGACTTACATGGCTGTCCTAGAAAATGTAAGTTTAATGACCCTATTTCAAATCACAGATATTGGTAACATGAAATGATTTATATTATCTGTATCTCTGATAGAAATAGATATAAATTAATATGAACCCATATTTTTTTATTTTTTGTAATATTTGACACTTTATCTTTTGTATTATAAAGGCTATCAATTTACTATTATTACTCATTATTTCTACTAGTCAGTGAGTTACAAATCAAGGCAATATATATTCATTAAGTAGGAAATACAGCATATTGAGAATTACACATTAGAGTAGATATTAAGTAGATTCAGTGGCATGTATCTTTTATATATGTGTGCATAAATTACTGAAGGCCTAGTCCTGTATGTGAAGTATATAAGTTTCCTAGAAATACTCACATTTCATTACAAAAGGGAGAAAGGCAATGGTTACATCTCTTAACCTAAGTCAACGTTTGGGTTCAAAACTGTTTAGACTCACCCCCAGAATCCAGTTCCTAAACTGAAATACATCCTAATTCCCTCAATAATCACACAACCATGGCAAAATAACCATAACAAAGGGACAACCGGTTCCTGTTAGTAGGAGATTTTTTTGCTTGTAGTTGAATGTTCTGCCTTAAGTATGAGTCTTAAATATGAGACTATAAACAATCTTATGTGCCAAATTTCTTTTACTCTTATTCATGACAAAGATGAACCTGTAGATAATTACAATGTTAAGGACCAGTTTCTCTAATAAATATACATGTGACATTGGTTGCAACATTAGAAATAATATAAGATTATTTTATTAAAAATGAGAGGTTTCTTTATTCATACACTTTGCAATGAAAACCTAAGACTTATGCGATTGTACTTACATAATCAAGTCAAAAGCTATGAATTGGCATTATCACTTCACAAGGAATAAATCTTCATTGAGATTGTCTGAATAACTGGCTGTGTGTAAAAATAAGTGTTTTTATCCAACGATACAAAACGAAAAAAAATCCAATGGGAAATATAAGAACAAATATCTACTAAGTATATTTAGATCGAGGACAAGGTAGTGGTGTCCTCTACCATTCCTGTCTTTGAAGTACCAAAAGACTTTCACAATATTCTACTTTACTCAGAAGGAAAAGAACAAACAGTAGTGAATAGCCACTAATTTTCACAAACCCAAACACAAACACAAAAGAGTTCAGATGCTGGTTAAGAGATGTACATTCCAAATGTAAAGCCTGCAGTAAAGCCTGCACAATAAAGGCCCTAAGAGTTCTTCTGGCCTGATTATTAACTTGTTTCAAGAAAAATAACTACAGAAATGGATAATACAATATTTTTAAGCACTCATTTCAAAATGGGAAGTTTGTGGTCACTATTAATATTAGAGAGAAACCCATCTTTACAACTTTCCTTTAAATAAAAATAGTCCTCTATCACATACTTTTGCCAAAGTAAACATAATTTAAAAACACTACATAAAATTGCTATTTTAGAATTGACTTAATTTCAAAATTCATTAAGAAAAATTCCTACAAGAATAGCCATTGAAACAACAATAATCAGCCACTAGAATATATTTGTACAGCACCAAGCATACGACTAGCATTCAGTGAACAACAGCAATAATAGAAATAATAATAAAACTGATCATCAATATTATATCAGTGATGATATATCTCTCATGGCTAAAAGGTTAAGATCATTGACCCTCCTGACAGTCACTTACTGACTCAGATGTTGTTTTTGTGAGATTCACTACTTCTGCCTACAACAAGAATAGTGTTTGACAATATCCCTAACTCCTTGTAGCTTTGGTCTCAAGTCTTTGGTGCTGAAGGTCCTTGTTCCAATGTCTGTATGACTGTTTGTCTATGAAGATAGCTCTCCTAGGTTTGCCTGATAGATCACATGAAGAAAAGCTTAGACTTGCATACTCATATCTTTCATCTCACTGCAACCAATATATCTTTTTGTAATTGTTCACTGGTAGCTATTATTTAAAACCCATTAACTGTATGTGTGCACTGAATATACATCTGCCTTTCCCCACTAGCCAATTCCTCTATGTCACTCTGTTCCTTCATTATACTTTGGTACACATGACAAAGTAACAGTGCTATCTTCCCTCTAGTCCTCTATTCTGCATGCAACCAATATGATTTTAAAACCAGAGGGCCTAAATTTCATTCAATTCCCTGTAAAAAACTGAATGCATTCTAATAAAAGTTAAAGTTTCACACAGATGAATTAGCCTAATTCACTCACCATTGAAGCCAGGGAAAAAATCAGTGTGGGAATTCTAGACTGTAGTTAAAATTTAGGGTCTCCCAACACTATTTACCTGAAGAATTAAAACAGTAATTTAAATGCAAAATGAAGTTATTTGGATTTAGTTCATTTGAAAGCAAAAAGAAATTTCCAAAGGCAAATTCTTTAAGGATAAACACCCTTGAGCCTTCACACAATGGAGAGAGAAACTAAAAGCTGAATCCTACTTCACTTTACATACACAAATAGTGGCTACCTGACCTCTTAAGTGCCATCTTTGGCACTTACCCATAATTCATGATCTTATTCTACATGCAAATAGATGTGAGAGTGTCTACAAAGCTATCGAGCATATCAATAGCGCACACTCTGGTTGGGGAGGAATGGAGCACCATAAGTTCATAAGGCCGGGAAAAGTAACTAGGCAAAAGCAATATGACTAGTAGTGTTAGACACAAAGGGCGCATCCACACATGCAAGCATGTATGCTTGCAGCAGTTCATATAGAAGCGGTGCAGATTTGAGCCGGGGCATTTTGCCTCAGTGCACATGCTCGGACATACACTTGCTTGTGGAGAAAATTGTGCCACTTGGGGCAAAATAACCCTGCCTAGCTCCTCCCAGATCTGCAGCCAAGGGGAGCTAGAGACCAGGGCCAGCACCTGTGCTGTCCCTGGCAGTATAAAAAGCTGCCCTGTCCTGGCCCCAGCAGTACAAAAAGCTGCCCTGGCAAGTAGCTCAGGGCTACTCCCCCTGCTTCTGGGGCCCAGCCAATTGGCACCTGGGGACACTACCCCTTGTGCCAGCTGGACTGCTGCAGCAGCCCTGAGAGTTCCCTGCCCCCGCTACCCACTGCAGCAGTCTGGCAGTCCGGGCTGCTGCCTGGCTGTGACCTGCAGCTTATCTGCCAGAGCTGAATGAGGCATCTGCCCTTCTGGGCCAGCTGCCAGTGGGCTGTGGCTGCAGAGCTGGCCTTTTTGTGGCACTACTGCCATGTGTGCTCCTGCCCAGCCAGCTGGGCAGCTATCACCCAGAAGATGTTCTGGGTG